ATTCTTTTGTTTAAATTTAGAAAGGACTGGAGATGTACCTCAGTATGGAGGCCCTGGGTTCAATCCTAAGAACACACACACACTCACACACATGTTTAAAGTTAAAAACTGCTGTTGAGCATAAAAAAAAAACAAAAAACAGTACATTAAATTATGAATTAATCTCAAATATTTTTCTCCAATATCGTTCAAACAAGCTCCTTTCAGTTTTCTTTGTTAAGCAGAACCATGCCTGAGAAGCATGTGTTGAACAGAGGACTTAGTGAATCCAGCAGAAAACTAATCCAACCTTCAAAGAAAAAAACTGAAGCAAGACACTTCCTTCTCAGGAGTCCACTGCCCATCCCGGTGCCCCAGGAGCAGCAGGAGGAGGACTCCAGGCTCCGCAACCCAAGGGTAACACCAGAGTCGGAAAAGCTTTCCTCCCGCGCTTCCTTCGAGGGCACAGGACCCCACACGAGCAAAGCTGTGTGTGGAGGAGACTGGCACTGCAGGAAGCATTACCGCGGTGAAGCGACTGACAATAAGCAAGCAAAGGACTGACATGCAGGAATAATATTTATCAGGAAACCGACTTCCTGTCTTTAATCACCCCACTATTTTTTAAAGAGATGAAATGTCTCCGGGATATTAGCAGGCAGGGGAGAGGAAGTGACAGAAGCAGCCATCTAAAGCTGTTGCCAACGCCTCTGCCCTGTCTCGCTCAGTTTGGCCCAGTTACAACTTTTGTCCAAGGTGAAGGGGAACTTGTGTGGCTGACACAGTGGGGGAGGCCGAGGTGGAGAGTTTGAGAACTGACAAATATGTCATCACAGCGCCAAAGCGGAAACTTGATAAGAATAAAGCACGGAAGTAATGTTTTGTGTGTGTGCATGTTTGCAGTACATAATGCTTATGTTCCCTGCGGGAAGTCTGTGCGTGTTCATAACATATGTTAATTCCTGTTCAATCCCTTTTCCCTCCCCCTCTGCCCTTCCTCCTCCATCTCCTAATCCCCTTCCCATTTGAGAAAGATCTATCTCCCTCCTTCTAGTATCTATCTTTTATTTTGCTTTCTTTATAACTTGGGTTTCTCCTGTAAGAGAAAGCATACCATTTTTAAGTTTATGTGTCTGATCTGTTTCATGTAACATTATGTTCCCAAATGCATCCATTTAATAAAACAAAGCACTCTAAAATGTGAAAATTTCTAAAACGTAGTATTACATATTTAAGCTGCAGCATTCATATATCTCTGAGGCCAGGGAAACTGTAGTTTTTCCCTTTCATACTTAATAAATCCCCTTGCACAGTTATACATAGACTGTATTTTCTATTAATTGTGTTCCTGTAGAGAACCGTATCCAATACAGATTTTGGTACCAGTAGTTCTAAAGAAACAGAATCATAAGGATGAATTTCTCTTATCAGTTTAGTAGTTCCTGGAGTTGGCTCTCTAATTTGATGAGACCTAAAGTTGCCATCATCCCTCCATCTGACAGTGTAGAGTATTGATAATCTGTGGCATGGACTACTTAAAATAACGTGACATAGATCCATGTGATTATCCTTACTCACCACTTGTGAGACAGAGGGAATTTAATGACTATGCACAATACCTTTAAACACTTTCAAAGGACTAAAAGTCAAAATTCTGTTGCCTGTTTGCTTTTAGCACCTCTGGACAAAGTAATAAAACTCAAAGATTCAAATTTCCAGTTCCAAACACATATAAACAAACTAAATGCTTCTAAGTGTGTCCTGAAGGGCAATCTTCTCTCCTGTAGCCATAGGGCTAAAGTTGCTGAAAAACCAAACCCAAGCCCTCAGCACGCAATTGACTGAATTACAACACAATTTAATGCTTAGCCTCTGTGGATATCTGCACTTAAAGTGAGTGCAGTGATCAGAAAAGATGCCATTAATTGGGAAGGAGATGTTTAGGGAATACCTGGAGTCTGGAGACATTGAACCCCTAAATTTTGATAAGATTTTTTTGCAAGAGGAAGAGATTTCCCCCCTTCAGTGGCAGAGGCATCCCTATGCCCACTCCCTGTGGTACTGGCTTCTCTCTCTCTGCCTGAGTAAACTGATGTTATGTTGCCTGTGGAGGCAGCAATGACCTTCCCAGATGCAGGTATGAAGCAAGACAATGCCAAGAAAGCTCCTCAGGGTCCACCCTCACCACCCAATTTTGCCTTGAGGCCTAAAATCAGGTTCAAATCTCAGAAAGCCCCTAAAGGTAATGTACAAGAGTGACACATGGAGAGATATGTCACATTTCTAAAGAACTTCTTCTAATTCTTATAAGCAGAAGTCTGGGAACACGTATGGAAATAGATTTTAAGGGTGTGAGATAATGGTGGAAGGAATATAAACCTGAATGCAGCTGAATTTCTTGATATGTGTTTTTTAAGCAAAGATTCTAGATTTAATATTGCAGCTCATGAACTTTTTTTAGCGGGGGAATTGAACTCAGGACCTTGTGCTTGCTAGGCAGATGCTGTGCTGCTGAGCTCTATCCCCAGCCCAGTTCATGAACTATTTTAAAAAGGTGCTAATAGTTCATTTGGTTGGTTGGCTGAAATATGGATAAAAAAAATGGCCCATTGTGGATGAGCAGGCACAGTAATTTGCCCCAAGAAATGGTCCAAATATTCTTGGTTCCTATTCTTGATATACTGCTTTCTGTCTCCCAGAATCTGCTTGTGGCATCATGGGGTATATATACCCTATGATCAGCTGACAGAAGAAGACTAGGACTAATTTACAGATGATTCTGCACATTACTTTCTTGATCCCTGTAACCTTGAGAGCATACTGGACATACAGGATGGCTGATTGTACCACTGTACCAACCTTCATAAACTGATGATCATTAATCTTTCCTTGTAACTGATGATCTCACCCTGCCAGCTAACCAGAAGAATTGCCAGACTGTTTTGCCTCACCTTTGTACCTCCTTTGTACCTTCTGCTTTTGCACTATATAAAAGCCCTAGACCACCAGAGATTGGAGCCTGATATTCTGGACCCAACAGACCATGATAGCCTGACATTGTCTGATAAACTGTTCTCACATAAAAC